TGTGCCCTCTGTGCCGGGCGGAGGCGGGGGTAAAAATCTGCAGCGCTGGCAGCCGCTTTCCATCCAGGAGCTGCCTGAGCCCCGCCGGCCGCCTGGCTCCTTCCCCTCCTCGCAGGGGATGCTCCCACTGCTGGGGGGCTCGGGGTGGTCCCCAAGTCTTCCCCGCTTGGGCTACGGGAGAGTTGTTGGCCAAAGCTCTTGTGACAGTGGCTTGTGGCCCCATGACACATGAGGGACTGCGAATCCTGCCATTTTTAGGGAGTGCTGGGGCTGCCTGAGCCCCGCCGGCCGCCTGGCTCCTTCCCCTCCTCGCAGGGGATGCTCCCACTGCTGGGGGGCTCGGGGTGGTCCCCAAGTCTTCCCCGCTTGGGCTACGGGAGAGTTGTTGGCCAAAGCTCTTGTGACAGTGGCTTGTGGCCCCATGACACATGAGGGACTGCGAATCCTGCCATTTTTAGGGAGTGCTGGGACCTCTGATGCCACATTAAATCCATCCAACGCTGCACGACGGTGTGCGGCCCTGAGCATCCCCAGAGCTCATCTTCCAGCCCAGGGATGGAGTGTTATGATCCCGGAGGGATTTAGGCTCTGCCAGCGAGGGCTTTGCAACCAGAGCTGGCGCAGGGGAGCGCTGCCGGGTGACGCCGCGCTTTTGGCAGGGCTGGCTGCGCCGGGTCGCCCGTGGGTCCGGCGCGTGGGTCCGTCTGCGAGAAGCATGACCAGCCTCCCCGGAGTGGTGGGTTTTACTCGGCTGTTTGAAAACAGCGTGGAGACGATGCAAATCCAGCCCTTGCTTGAGAGCACGTTTTGCATTCTCTGAAATGCAGAATGGGACTGGATAGGCAGGATTTAACCGGACTTTCACCTTCCCCTGGCAATCTGCGATGGGAAAACAACCAACGCCGGCATGCAGTGAGGATGGGGGGCGGCAGCAGCCCGCCCCGCTGCACAGCCTGGTTCCCTGGGGTCCCCCCAGCAACAACCTGGCCCCGTCGGTGAGGTCGGACTGCTGAAGCCATGGCTGGAGCATCCCAAGGAGGAGCAGGAGAAGCAAAACGCATCTTGTCGAGCTTTCTTCCCTGGCCTGGAGCATCTTGCTGGGCTGTCACACGGGTGATCCCCACCGAGGACAAACCAGAGGTGCCTGCAGCCAGGTCTCGTCCTTGGGATGCTCCTGGGCTTCCCCCTGCTGCGAAGGGACTTCGACAGGATGAATTTCTCCTTGCCAAGAGGAAGGACTTTGCACGCGGAGGTGGAGCGGCCTCGGGGTGCACGCGGGGGTGGCTTCACGCGTCTCCCCACCCCGAGCTGGGAAAGGCCTTTCTGGTCCCTGGGAAGGGACATCCCATGATGGGACTGTGAGTGTCACCTCCTCGGATGAGCTTTCTGCTCCCGTCGGCTCCTGATGACCTGCAGCAAAGGCTGGACGGGTGCTTCCAGACTAAAGGAGGCAGCTACGGAGCAGGGGGGATACATGGGGTGGGATGTCCCCCAGCACTGGTTTCGGAGGAGGACGTTGCGCACGAGGGAGAGGGATGATGAGAGCAGCCGGCCACGGCCGTGCCTTGCCCTGCCGAGCTGCGGCACAACCGAAAGAGCCAAGGCCAAACTCCAGGATGCGGGGAAAGATTTCATCCAGCCACGCATTTCTTTTCCTGCCTGTTATTCCTAGGAGCAGCTCAAGCATTTCAGTTCCAGCTCCCCGCCGTAATCAGAGCCAAGACCAAGCCCAGGATGGTTTCAGTGCCAGGAATCGGGGATTTAGAGAGTTGCAAGTGGCTGCGGGAGAGGGAAGAGCTGTGGCATGGCCTGGCTGCAGCCTCCTGCCGGCATTTAACTCCTCTCCTTCCCAGCCCTCGGATCTCGCTGCCCCACCGTGATCATCCCAGGGCCCTTGGAGACGTCGGCTTGGGCTCTTTTCACTCTTATTTCTAGTTTTTCGGGTTTTGACAGCTGACGCTCCCCAGCTGTCCTCCCCAACCGGCCGAACAAGAAATGGGGTGTAATCCCAGGGAATTGCTTTGCTTTGGGAGCTGTGGTTTAGGGAAAACCCTCGAGTATCTCATTTGCAATCAGCAGTTCCCAGGACTGAGAACATCTGGCAGGGAGAGGTTGGGATTCATCTTGTTGGTGCCTTTGGAGGTGCTCGAACAAGATCTGTGCTGTTTGTTTGCTGTTTTTTTCCCCTAAGGGAATAAAATTAATTGCTATAAAAGCATTCCCACACCTTCCCCCAGATGCTTTCTGCAGAGACCATCTGCTCTCCCCATCCCATGTGCCGGCTTCGCTCTGGGCGTCCCTCTGCCCTCCCTGGGATGGGACAAAGGAGGGCCGGGGGTGTCTGATGGCACTTTGATTTTCTCCAAAAGACTCATAAAAGCCATTTCTCTTTCCTTTCCTTGTCCTGTGCCCGCATGTCCCCAGCTGGTCACTGTCAGGGACCAAAACACCCTGTGCACCAGGTCCCAGTTCCCTCCAGCCACTTTGGCCGGTTCACGTGCAGCTCTGCATCTCCTCTCCTGCCATCAGGACACCTCCCGGCCTTTCATTTCACTCTGCTCTGGTTTTTGGGGGGTTTTTTTTGGCTACAGAAAGAAAAGAGGAGGCCTCTGCTGCAGAAAACAACCCCTCGCGTGTGCTGCAGGGGAAACCAGGAGAGCGGAGCTCCATCCTCTATTGTGCTGGACAGTTTTTCTTCGAGTACCTGGTGGTGGTGTCGCTGAAGAAGATGCCAGATGGACGTTACGAACCCAAGATAACCTACCAATTCCCAAAGGTATTTAGTCCCGTGTTTCCAGGAAGATGATTTTTCCAAATTTAGATGAAAAGGGGATGTTACTCCTTCCCCATCACTAGAGCCAGGGGAGGAGAACAGAAAAATACCCCGTGCCCTGGAGTCACGGACCCAAACCCCAGGGCTTTGCCTGCCGTGGGCTGGGGTTGCTGGGACCGTCTGTCCCTCCCTGTGGTCCGAGCCCCGGGCCACAAACCCCAGGAGGGAGATCCCGGGGTGCTCCCTGGTCTCCTGTCCCGAAAGGGGAGACCACGGTAGCGAAACCACACCCTGGGGAGGTGGCACAGGAGGAGACCCCTGTTTGCAGAGGGGCCCGTGGGTGCCTCTGCTTTACCCCACTATCCACAGGGGAAAAGAGTCAAAAATTGGATTTTGGGGAGATTCTTGTCCAGGGATGTGCAGGCAGCCTCTGCTTCGGTCTGGGCCGGGGGTTGCTTTGGGACACAGCCCATTCCACCCCATCCCCTGGGGCTACGGGCACCCTCCATCACCCTGACTCTTGGCATCACTTTGTTCCAGCGCGAGAACTTGCTGAAGGGCCAGAAGGAGGAGGAGGAACGTCTCTTGCAAGCCATCCCCCTCTTCTGCTTCCCTGACGGCAACAACTGGGCCCCCGTCACCGAGTTCCCCAGGTACCTGCCCCGCTGCGGGGTCTTGGCCATGGTTTCCCACCCCGTGCCGTCGTACCCCTGAGGGCTGCGGGTGGAAGAGCCATCCCGTCCCCATGCATTGTCTCTCCTTGCAGCGAAACCTTTTCTTTCGTCCTGACCAACGTGGATGGCAGCAGGAAGATCGGCTACTGCAGGCGGCTGCTGGTGAGCATCCCATTGCCCGTACACCCATCGCTGGGTCGGTGGTGGCTGTGCCACCCAGTCCCCATGGGGGGACGCGATGCCTTCTGCCACGCCCAAAGTACAACTCTTGGGGACGTGCCTTAGAAAGCCACTTGCCTTGACAAAGATGATGACAAGCAGCAAGGGGGTGCCCAAAGGGATTTTTTTTGGAGCTTTCATCTGCTGGGGCATCAGTTGGATGCTGGGTGGAGGAAAGCAGCATTTGCTGTAGCCCAGGGCTGGCCTGAAATGCAACCAGGAGATGCGACGGTTGGGAGGTGCCGTTCCCGGTATCAGTGGTCGCTGCCTCCCCACCGATCTCCCGCAGCTTCCCTGGCTCCTTTCCCTTGGCCGCAGCGGTCTGGATGGCTGCAAATCCCACTCGGGATCAGAATGGGGATGCGCGTGCGCCCATCCAGGTGCCAAGGAGCCGGGTGTCCTCAGCCCCGTCCCCCAAAATTGCTTCTGAACAGCGGCTGCCTTTCTCAACTCATGGATTTGGCCAGCTCGGGGCCTGCGAGGTGTGATGGAGGTCTTCCTTGGCTGCTGATTTACACACAGCCTGCTTAAATAGGGACGTAAAGCCACAGGGCCATACACCACGGCTCAGTGACTTGCTGGATCTCACCACCCTTTCATTCCATGGCGAACCTGCATCCAGGGCTGAGCTCTGGCTCTTTGAACTGGATGTCTGGAGGGCTGAAAGCGCAGAGAGCAAACAGACCCAGGATAGTCCAGTTGGAAAGGGAAAAAAAGCCCCAAGGATGGTGGGGCAGGACGTCTCGGAGGACGCGTGTCTGGGGGGAAGAAAGTTTGGAAATAGGCCAAAGGGCTTTGCACCAAAATGATTAACAGCTTTGGCATCTGAATTGCCTTCTCTGGGCACCCTCTGCTTTTACAGCATCAATTGCATCCTTGGCCTGAGCCCCAGCTCTGAAAATCCCCCAGCGAGTGACTGGGTACTTTGGGGGGGGCGAGTGGGGCCAGGGGGGATCTCTGGGGAGAGCGCGGAGCTGGTGCAGTGGGGCTGGGAGATGCTCAAAGCCTTTTCCCATCCTCTTCCAGCCATCCGGCCGTGGTGTCCGCCTCCCTGAGGTCTTCTGCATCATCAGCTGCCTGGGCTGCTTCGGGCTCTTCTCCAAGGTAGGGATGTGGTGGCTCCGTCTGGCGCGGTGGTCGCCCAGGCAGCCTCTCCGTTGCCTGCCGGGGTTTCACAGCTCCCTTTTTTCTCCCCCAGATCCTGGATGAGGTGGAGAAGAGGCGCCAGATCTCCATGGCCGTGATTTACCCCTTCATGCAGGGCCTTCGGGAGTCGCCCTTCCCAGCTCCGGGGAAAACCGTCACCATTAAAAGCTTCATCCCCGAGTCAGGCACAGAGGTTGGTGGGGGTCTCGGGTGCTCAGCGGCACCTCCTGGACTGCTCCAACATGGGGAGCCTGGGCTATCTCTGGGAGCATCCTCCACCCCTGCAGCACCCATGGGTGCTCGCTGGAGCAGTAGGTGGTGGGTCAGGCTTCTGGGGGCCTCATGCCCTGGAAATACGGGTGCCACCTCCCTCCTGGTCCAGGAGGAGAGCAGCAAGCAGTGAGGATGAGGATGGAGCCCATCTACAGGTGATGCTCTTCCATCTTTGCATCCTTGCAAAGCAGCATCTTTGCAGGTCCATCAGCCTTGAGCTGGAGCTGCCAGCACAAAACCTCCCCAGATGCCGCTTCTTAACGTGTCAGTGCTTGCACAGCCTTCACGTCATGCCAGGGCCGTGGAGCAGGGCTGGCCGCATCCCGCTCGCGAGCCGGCCTTCACCCCTCCAGCTGCGGCACACGGGGCTGTTGGGGTGCACAGGGGCGCTGGGGCCGTCGCGGGGTGTTGCAGGCTGCAGCGTCCCCTCCGCATCGCAGCGCTCAGCGCTCAGCCTCGGCATCCACCCTGGTTCAGCATCACGAGCAGGCAGGTGGCGGCATGCAGGCGTGCAGCCCTCACCTGTGGAAAGGAGATCTGATACGGGCATGGTGCCCACAGGGCTCATCTCACCCACGCACGGCCCAGGCTCGCACAGGCAGAGCCTTTTCTTTTGTTTTTTTTTTTCTTTCTCTTGTGGCAAAGCTGGGGTGGAAAAAGGGGGAGGATCTGCCTTGGCACTGGGCAAAATAACCTCAGTGCCCAGCATCCAGGGATGTGTCCTGCCAGGGCGGGTCTGAGAGCAAGATCCCTCCTCTCTCGTGCAATTTAGCAGCTGACTATCAAATTGCAAGAGATTTCTTCATCCAGGAAGGCTTGTGCAAGGGCTTTGCAGGTTGCTCAACGCTCTGGCTGCAGGCCAGGCTGCAGAGAGCGCAGCTGGGGGTGCCGGGAGGGAGGATTTGCAATGAGGACGTTCTTCGAAAGAGCTGCGCTTTGGGGCTCTGGGCAGGGGCTGGAGCAAGTCAAAGAGATCGGTGAGAAAACAGGGAAAGGGGTGAAAAACAAATCCTGGGTACTGCATGAGCTGGGAGCTGAGGATCGTGCAGGATTTGGGCTGGAAAGGGGTTGTGGAGCCCAGCCAAGCCCTGTGCTGCTGGCTGGGAAGATGCTGCTTTGCTGGAAAGGCAGGTTGGCCCATGGAGGAAGGGGATTTCCCCAGCTTTAGAGCTGGGGAGAGGAGCCAGGGCTGTGTCACGAGCTGCACAGTCCTGTTGCCCCTTCCCTGGTCGCCATCTCGGGGCTCCTGCAGCAGGGCAGAGGTATCGACCGGCTTTGGGAGACCCTTGTCTGAGGCAAAGCCAGCAGACTAGGCAGACCACCTGCAGATATCCATTAGATAATTCACTTTTGGGTCATCCTAGCTAGGACGAGGTGAGCTGGCCCTCCCAGAGAGTCTTTTGAGGAAGTCTTTGTGGTTTTTATAGCAAAAGTCATGCCCACATCCCTCCTCCCTTTCCTGGAGGCTGCTGCTCACAGATGAGCTGTCAGATGCTGAGGCGGGAGCACAGCCCTGCCCGTCTCCTACCAGGGACTTGTGAGCACTGCAGAAAAGAGGCATTTTGGTTAAAAACCTAGTGCTCCAATAAATAAACCCCACAGCGCACCTCACCACTGGCTACTCCTGCATCCTCAGTGCTGCACAGCCCAAATCTCCAGGCAGGACAAGATGAGATTTGTCCCTTGCGGAGGGACCTGATGCAGATGCTGCAAACTCTGGGTCATTAGTTGCTCCCAAGTCACCTTCTCAGGGGGCCAGGGTGGCGCAGGGGGAGCGTTGCACCTCCTCAGCCGGGGTTTGGTGGCTCTCCCTCGGCAGCTCATCGAGCTCACGCGGCCCGTGGACGCCCACCTGGAGCACGTGGAGTTTCAGGCTCTGCTCCAGCGGCTCAGCCCCCACCTCATCCTGCACATCTTCGCCTCCGCCGTGTTGGAGCGACGGCTCATTTTCCTGGCAGAGGAGCTGAGGTGAGTCCTGATCTGTTCATTTAAAAATAAAACAAAAAAAAAAAAACCCTTGAATGAGCGCAGGATGCAGCTGAGCTCGGGGTGGGACGTTCCTCTGAGCAGTGAAATCCATTTTCTTTATGCAATGCCACCACGATGGCTCCTTGTCCCGCAGCGTCCTGTCACAGTGCATCCATGCGGTGGCTGCTCTCCTCTACCCCTTCACCTGGGCTCACACCTACATCCCCGTGGTCCCCGAGTGCCTGCTCGACACCGTCTGCTGCCCCACACCCTTCATGGTCGGCATCCAGATGCGGCACTTGGAGCGGGTCCTGGACCAGCCGATGGAGGAGGTATTTCATCCGGGTGGGGGAAAGCATCTGGATGGAGCCATCGGTTAGTCCGTGACCCTGGGTTTGGGTTGGCTCCGGGGCTGAAGGCTCTGGTTGTGCCTTTTTCCCATCCAGGGAGGCTGGAGATTGGGGCTTCTTGCATGTTGGCACCTGGGGCAACACCTCCACGTCCCCCTGGGTGCTGTTGGCCACCCCAGGACCCGCAGCCCTGACCCTGGGGGCTCAGGGAGCTGCTGTCGGCCAGGCTGGCTGTTGGCATCATCCCAGCCTTGCAGAAGCAGAGAAAGGCTGCATGGGGACAAGCCACCAAGGCTGGGGCAAACATGGTCCCTGGGGGGATGCCCTGGTCTCCCTGCCCAGGTCCCTCCAGCACAGAGGGACCAATCCTTCTCCTGCTGCCCTCATGGGCTGCAGACATGGAGGTCTGATCATAAAACGGGTGGGAGGAAGCCTGGCTGCCTCGGTAGGGCTAAACCTGGTTGCTCTCTGCTCTCTTTCAGGCTCTGATAGTTGACCTCTGCGAAGGGAGGATCATCCGGGCGGTAGGTCCCCCCATGCAGGGCGTGGGGGTGGGCTCGCCTGGCCCGGGTGGCCCTGGGAGGGGCCCCTTTCCACCCTTGGTCCCAGCTACCTGGCAGCTTTCATATTTTGGGGGCAGAGACATCTTGGTGTCGCCCGTGCAGCGATAATGTCCCACGAAGGGATGTCTCCATCCGCTGCATCACTTTTGTCATGAGCCAGAGCAGCAGAGTCCACGTATTAGAATCATCACAGAATCGTTAAGGTTGGAAAGGACCTCTGAGATCATCGAGTCCAACCTATTAACCTAACTGCCTGGCCCACCTCTAAACCATGTCCCTGAGCACCACATCCACATGGTTTTTGAACGCTTCCAGGGACTGTGATTGCACTGCTTCCCTGGGCAGCCTGGGCCAGGGCCTGACCACTCTCGCCATGAAGAAGTTTTCCCTAATACCCAACCCAAACCTGCCCTGGCGCAGCTTGAGGCCGTTCCCTCTCGTCCCATCGCTT